CGACTTCAGCTATTTGAGACTGCAGTGGTCAGTATAGACTGTAGTCTTGGCTCCCTCTAGGTAACACCTCCACGCCTTGAAGGCTATGACTATCGCTAAGGCTTCCTTGTCGTGAATGGGGTAGTTTAGTTCTGCTCCGTGTAGTTTCTTACTGAGGTAGGCAATAGGCTGTAACCCGTTCCCGTGATCCTGCATTAGTACTGCTCCAACTGCCTGGTCACTAGCATCTGCTTCAACCACGTAGTCCTTGTCTGGATCTGGTAGGATGAGTACTGGCGATGTAGTTAGTGCTGTCTGTAGCTGCTCCATGGCTTGCTGATGAGGCGTATCCCATTTGTAGGGCGTATCCTTTTTCAGTAGGTCGGTGAGTGGCGCTGCTATCTTAGCGTACTGCGGCACGAACCTGTTGTAGTAGTTGGCGAAGCCTAGGAACTGCTGCAACTCCTTCACGTTCTCCGGTACTTTCCACTTCTTAACGGCTTCGATTTTCCGCTGGTCCACGTGTACGTCCTCGGCACTCACCATGTGCCCAAGAAACTGCACCTTCTTCAGGGCGAAGTCGCTCTTCGACAGCTTCACGTAGAACTTGTTTTTCCGCAGGATCTCGAACACCTTCCTCAGATGCTCCACGTGCTCCTTCATGTTCTTGGAGTAGATGAGGATATCGTCCAGGTACACCACTACGCACTCGTCCAGCAGGGGCCGTAGGATGTGATTCATCTCCGCCTGAAACGTTGCTGGTGCGTTGCAGAGTTCGAACGGCATCACCAAGTATTCATAGGAGCCGTATCTGGTACGGAACGCCGTCTTGTGGACCGAGTTGTCTGCCATCTTGATCTGCCAGTAACCCGATCGTAGGTCCAGCTTCGAGAAGACTGTTGCGCCACGCAGTTGGTCCAGTAGGTCGTCTATGCGCGGTATGGGATATTTGTTTTTTACTGTCTGTTTGTTCAGTGCGCGGTAGTCGATGCACATCCGTAAACTGCCGTCTGGTTTTGGAGTGAAGAAAACTGGTGCACCGTAGGGAGAGGTGGATGGGCGGATCAGTTGTCTGTCCAGTAGATACTCTATCTGTTTCTTCATGTCTGTCAGTTCTGTCGGACTTAGTCGGTATGGTGCACGTGAGACGGGTTTCGCACCTGGTTCCTCCACGATCTCGTGCTCGTGGGTGCGTGCTGGAGGTACGCCTGCAGGTAGGTCGTCGGGCATTATATCCTTGTATTGCTCCAAGACCTCCTTTACTGCTGCAGGGAGCTCGGAACTCGGCTTCTCCTCCTCTGCTGCTGCCATGACCAGTGCTAGGTAACCCCTGTTACTTTCGTTCACCGTCTGTTCGAACCGTGCCAGTGTCGTTTCAGGTACGTCCCCTGTATCCGTCCAGCTTCGCAGTGCTATCCGCTTCCCGTTGTTGTAGATGCACACCTTGCTGTTGACCCAATCGATCTCGGGGTTGAACCGCTTCAGGAAATCTCGCCCCAAGATAAAATCTAACCCCTTGATGTTGGTGACTGGTAGCTTCGGCTTCCACCTCAACGCACCTATATGCAGCTGTAGTGATGCTTCGCCGTGGATAGGAAGCTTCGTACCGTCCACCATGGCTGCTGAAAACTGGGTCTTTTCCGCCTTCTCTCCAGTTTTCTCCAATGCTCCGTGGTCACACACCGAGTGAGATGCACCGCTGTCCACCAGTGCCTGGAGGCGTCGCCCATTGCATAACACCTCGAGGAGTAGTGGTTTCTGCTGTGCTGAGTAGCCAAAGAGGGTCTCGTTAATAGGATCATAGGGTACATCAAATTTAATACCTTCCCTATTTCCTATACCCGACTCAGCACTTTCCAACTTCACCTGGGGGGTAGGAGGATTTTTCCGAGGCTTGTATAATTTCTCCTGAGCCTGGATGTCTCCTCTAAGCCTTGGCAGCTGTGTAGGCTTCACCTGTGGGCAACGGGGAGCCTTAACACTGTGCTGCGGGGAGAGAATATTAACTCCACGGAACGCACGACCCTTTTCTACGCTCCGTAGTATTTTGCCCAACTTCTCAGGTACCTGAATAATTTCTAAAGGCTTTTTCTTGGCCTCTAAACCTCCCCTGAATTTTTTAAAGGCTTGAAAACCACGAGAAGCAATATTCTTCGTTAGAGTATCTTTATAGGATACTTTTAACGAGTTCTTACTTTCGTGGGTGTTCGGTTGGAGTTTCCCGGTCGGTGCAGGGTCTTTTTTCGCGGAGCCTCCATTCGCCTCGGCGATTTCCCCTGATGCCGGCCGGTCGTGACGTTTTAGATTCGCGCCATCATTTTCTCCTTTTTTCACCCGCTCCGAAGTCGCCACGTCGTCGCCTTTTTCTGCTTTTCGGATCTTTACGCGATCGCCAGGTCGATCCGCGGCTACTAGCGATTTCCGTTTTTTGACTTCGGGGGTGCTCCACTGTTTCTGTCCCGGAGTGCCGCGCGTGCTTTCTTCATTTTGTAGCACGACAAAAACTGATGTCCTGCTGCGCCGCAAAATTCGCATTTTGTCGGCTGCTGCTTCGCGCCGTATTTGTCGATATCCATCGGTTCGGCGAACGTGGGGGGTGCCGATCGCTCCGTGCCGAATGTACGGTTCGGCGTGAAGCGTCGTGTTTTGGGTTGACCTCGAGTCAGCGCGTCGTATCGCTCGGCAGCACGCACGATGTCTCTGTAGCTGTTGTAATTCGCCGCAATCACCTGCCGCTGAATCTCCATTTTTAACCCTTCGGTGTACGCCTGGATTTTTTCGCCTTCGGTCAGGTCGGTGATGCGGTTGAACAGTAACTCCATCTGCTGCGTGTACTGTGCTACACTACTGTATTGCTTGTGTCGGTGTATCTGCTGCCGCGCCATGTAGGTCGTATTAATTGGTTCGAAACGCTCGATTAAATCTGCCCAAAACTGCTGCCACGTTTTCTCCCCGTGGGCTACGTTGGTGTAGTAAATCCATTCGAGAGGCGGTCCACGTAACAGTGTCGCTGCGAGCCGAATCCTTGCTGCGTCGTGTTGCGGGGTCGAACAGCCAATGGCCTCGAAGTAAATTTCGAGGGTGGCCACGAATCGCCGGACGTCGGATCCCTTCGCGCTTGGATCGAACGCCTCCGGGAGCCTCGGTCGTGCTGCTTCGAGGTTCGGCGACAGTGGTGCCATTGGTCCGTGAAATGTCGGTGTCGCCACTGCTGCTAGAGTTGTCGGTGCTGCAGTCGCTGCTGCTGCGGTGGCGAACCCTGGTTGGCTTGTCAGAAAAGCCTCGAGTCGACGAAGCGTCGCCTGCGTCTGCTCCATGTCGGTGCGGAGGCTTGCGATGTCGCTCGTAGTCACGTAGTTGTCGCCTTGGCCCTCCATGCCTGACATCAACGCGTCCGAAAAACCGAATCGAGTGGGAGCGAAAAACACGGAACCGGTTTTACGTACCCGAAATCGATGTTTGACTACGTCGCCCCCGCGGTTTTTTTAAGACTGGTTTTAGCGGTCGAAAGAACTTCGCGTGTAAACGGGCTCTGATTACCAAGTGTGAGGATCTAGGATCGAGCTCAGAAAAGAGAATTGTGAATTGAATCGAATTGAATGATCACCTAGGTACAACACGAGGCTATATATAGGCTCGACACAAGGCCTCGTAACCAGGTGTTACGCGAAGGTTCCGCGGGTCGCGAAGCGTCCCGAACAGATCCTTCCCGAATTCGGTAGAAGGCAATTCGGTGGCAACCGAAAAGCCAGAATTCGGTGCACGCAACCTAGCTCGGTGCTATAACTATAATAAAATATAGGAAAGCACCTAGCCTAGGAAATCAAGCAATTCATGCATGCATATAATTATCCTATGCTAGAAATAGCATAATAAAGTAAAGGCAAGTAAGCATAGCTGGCATAAGCCGTCGTACTCTCACAGCTGCTGCGGCCGGGGCAGGGGCGGCGGCGGCTGAGAAGGTGCCGCGAGGGGCCGCGAAGGGGCCGTGAGGGGCCGCGAGAGGGGCCGCGAGGGGCCGCGAGGGGCCGCGAAGGGCCGCGAGGGAGCCGTGGGAGGGGCGGCAGCGGCTGAGAAGGGGCCGCGGGGTCGCGAGGGGCCGTGAGAGGGGCCGCGAGGGGCCGCGAGGGGCCGCGAGGGGCCGCGAAGGGGCCGCGAGGGGCCGTGAGAGGGGTCGCGAGGGGCCGCGAGTGTCAGAATCCCAACCACTAGACCATTGGGATAAAATGGCTTGTTAAGTAGCGGGTCAGTGCGCCTATAACCCCCCAAGACAACGAGCCTGTAACCCTTCCCTAGGATCAATCGGGGATCACCAGTGGACCTCTAACACCCCCCCGCACTGGGATGCCCGAAGTGCACACACTGGGATTCGAACTCGAGACCTTCGCTCTGATACCATGTCAGAATCCCAACCACTAGACCATTGGGATAAAAGGGCTTGTTAAGTAGCGGGTCAGTGCGCCCATAACCCCCCAGGACAACGAGCCTGTAACCATTCCCTAGGATCAATCGGGGATCACCAGTGGACCTCTAACAGCGAGGGGCCGCAAGGGAGCCGCGACGGGGCCGCGAGGGGCCGTGGGAGGGGCCGCGAGGGGCCGTGAGAGGGGGCCGTGAGGGAGCGGTTAAGGGGCCGCAAGGGGCCGTAAGGGGAAGCTAAGGGCAGGGGACGCGATGGGAGGGCAGGCACACGGGGCGCGGCACGGGCAGGAGCGAAGCGCGCTCCGGGCAGGAAAAAAAAAATCGATTTTCGGTGGGCCCTAGGAAACGTTCCCACTAGGGAACCTGCTCTATACCATGTGAAAGAATGAGGAATGTATGCAGTAGGAAACAAGTAGGAAAACCTAAAAGTGTTGTACCCCATATTGTCTACCCCACTACAGCCTACACAGACTATAGCATATAAGTTTGACACATGGGACATTGTTCGTACAGTGAAAACGGTACGCATGTTCGAATTTGGGGTTTCGAGCCCAGAGGTGACACGCCCTTAATCCCAACCCACCTGCTCTCTCCCCACAATGTCGATTCGGTGCTCTCTTATCGCCCCAAACACCTCCTGCATTCGCCCTAGCTCCCGCACCTATGCCCCTTCGTCCCCCTCCCCTGCTGCCCTCCCCCCCTGTGCTAGTACAGGATCGCCTGGCTCTATGATGGGCACTGTGGGAAAGGAGGAGGGGCGAGAGGAGGATGGGGAAAGGGAGGCGTGAGCGGAAAACAGAAACTTGAGACGTTTCCGTAATCACCCATCGCTCTCCCCTGCCCCCTTTCCCCCCTGTGCCAGCACTGGCTGGCCTGGCTCAATGATGGGCACTGGGGGGGAAGAGAGGGGGGGGTGGGGGGGGGAACGGGGGGGATGAGACGCGGGAGAAAGAGGGTCAGAAGAGAAGTGACCAAGGAGAGATGTGCTCCCATCACCCCCTCATCCCCCCTCCCTACTTTCACTCTCCCCTTCTGCCCTTCCCCCTGTGCCGGTACAGGATCCTCTGGCTCAATGATGGGCACTAGGGGGGGGGAAGGCGGGGGCGGGGGAACGGCGGGGATGAGACACAGGAGGAAGAGGGGCGGAAGAGAAGTGACCAAGGAGAGATGTGCTCCCATTCACACCCCAACAGAGGTAGAGAAAAACAGAGTGTCGAGACATCTCAAGCCCGCCCAAACACGTCGTACATTTGCCCTGGGTCACCCGCCCGTGATTCCACATCCCCCTCACCGCTTCCCTCTCCCCATGCTACCCTCCCCCGCTGTGCTGGTATAGGATCGCCTGGCTCTATGATGGGCACTGGGGGGAAATGTGGGGAGGAGGGGATGATGGGGAAAGGAAGACGTAAGCGAAAAACAGAGAACTGAGAAGTTGCCACGATCATCAATCGCTCTACCCTGCCCTCCCCCCCTGTGCAGGTACAGGATCGCCTGGCTCTATGATGGGCACAGGGGTGGGGAAGGATAAGACACGAGAGAAAGAGGGACGGCTTGTGCAAGGGAGAGATGTGCGCTCATTGCCCCTTCATCCCCCCTCCTGCTTCGGCTCTCCCCTGCTCTTCAAAAGAAACCGTTTTAAGGCTACCACCGCTACGGACACTACTCCTCCCCCCCACCCCTACCCGACCCGGCACCAGGCCCGTGTTCGCCGTTCCCGTGAGGAGCAGCTGGAGTTGGAGCGAGAGGGGAGAGAGTTGGAGTGGCAGCAGCTGGAGCTACAGCGGCTGGAGGAGCAGCAGCAGCAGCCGGAGCAGCAGAAGCAGCACCCGGAGCAGGAGCAGCCGCAGCAGCAGCCGCAGCAGCAGGAGCAGCAGCAGCCGCCGCAGCTGGAGGAGCAGCATTCGCAGCCGCATTAGCATCAGCAACAGCCGCCACCTCCTCCTCCTGTCTCTGGTCTTCGTACCCTCGGTCTCCCCTCTCCCTCTCCTCCCTCCTCCCCCTCTCCTCCCGTCTCTGGTCCTCCGCTTCCTCCTCCTGACCCCTCCCCAACTATTTTCCCTCCTTCTCTGCCTCCGTTGTCCCCTCCTCTTTCTCACACTTAGCCTTCGCGTCGCTCTCCTCGTGCTCGTCCCTTGTCCCCTGTTCCCTTCTCTGACCTTCGTACTGCCCTGCTTCGTTCTAGTCCGCCTCGCTCTTCTCCTTCTGTACCTCCTTCTCCTTCTGAGTCGGCTCTTACTGCTTCCCTCTCTACTCCTGTCACGGACTACTACCGCACATACCATCCTATTCTGTCTCGTGTTCTCGCCTCTCTTGTTACTGACCCATGTCCCTCTCTATCCTCCGTCTCCGCTCTTACTGCCGCAGTCACTGAGTTTGCCTCTAGTCGCTGCCTTGACTACGCCACCAGTCTTGTGGCTGCTCTTCCTACCAGTCCTCTGGCTGTCTGGGGTGAGTCTGCCCTTGGCTGTGACGCGTTAGAAGACAGGCAGTTTGAGCTAGAGTTCTTGGCAGCCGCTTCCCTTCATCTCTGTGCCATGCTGCTCGCACCTGAGGGAGACCTCGACGCCCTTGACATACCGACTCCTCACACTTACGCTGAGGCAGTGTCAGGGCCTTGGGCCTCCCAGTGGAGAGTTGCCATGGACTCAGAGATGGCCTCCTACACATCCACAGGCACTTACGTCGACAAGGTTCCCTTCCTAGGGGCGAATGTAGTCGATGGCATGTGGATCTTCAGGGTGAAGCGACCACCAGGATTACCTCCTGTCTTCAAGGCACGCTATGTGGCTAGAGGTTTCAGTCAGTGCGAGGGAGTTGACTTCTTTCAGACCTTCGCGCCTACCCCAAAGATGGCCACTCTTCGGATTTTACCGCACGTAGCAGCACGGAGAGACTACGAGCTACACTCTCTCGACTTCTCCACTACCTTCCTTCAGGGTAGCCTACACGAGGAGGTCTGGTTGTGTCGTCCCTCTGCCTTCACTGGCACTTTCCCTCCTGGGACCCAGTGGAGGCTGAGGCGACCAGTCTACAGTCTCCGTCAGGCTCCTTGTGAGTGGCACGACACCCTTTGTTCTACCTTCTCTGACCTCTGTTTCCAGCCGTCTTCTGCCGACCCGCACCGTTCGTCGTCGTGGCTCCGCACCGTTCTTTGTACTGGTCTACGTCGACGACCTGGTTTTCGCCACTGCTGACGGGGTTGCTTTAGCTGACGTGAAGCGCGAACTACAGAAGGGACACACGTGCACTGACCTTGGTGAGCTGCACCACTACCTTGGCCTGCTGATCACCAGGGACAGAGCCGCTCGCACCATTACACTCTCACAATCACACATGGTGCAGCAGGTCCTTCAGCGGTTCGAGCTTCAGCACTCCACAGTACAGCGCACACCTCTTGCTGTTGACCACAAACTCACTGGTCCCTTTCCTGAAGAGCTGTTTGAGCCTATTGGTCCCTGCGGAGATAACTGCTGCAACGGGAGCTAGACTACGGGCTAGGCACGTGTGCTAGTGTGATCTCTACGTTCGTTCACTTAGTCGTTTCCTTGTGTTCACGCTGCTTGCTAGTTCATGGGGAGAATTGGCAAGAGTTTCACTAGGAAGACATGACAACCACAAAAAATTGTAAAAACATTGGCATCACAGACTACATCAGTGCTAGCTAGGCTGCTGGTCGACCTCCAGCGCAGCACGGTCGACCGCACTCCAGCGCAGCAGCGCTCGCACCGCTCCAGCGTTGCAGAGTAGCGGTTCGCCAACGTTGCAAGTCCACGGTGTGCTAGCGCTGCAGCAAGTCGGCTGCACAGCGTTGCACCCGCAGGACAACGGTGCACCTGCTTCACAGGTGCGCGCAGCTGGTTGGCGCTCCACACCTTGTCACGAGCACAGCGCAGACGCCTGGCAGACTCCACGCCAGCGTCTGCGCCCACCAGCCACGTCGACCTCGGGATACCACCCCCGAGGTAGGCCTCGCATACTCCACCCTGGCGACACTCGCACATGTCGCCCGAGTATTCCGGTCGACCGGGCAACCACGCCTGGCCGACCAGCACAGTCCGTAGCCGGCCACGCATGCCCGGCGTCCCCAGTCCGGCGTCCAGGCGCCCAGGACACCTTCCGAACCCCCAAGTCGGCGTCCCTCCTCCCAGGACGCCGACCAGACGCCCAGGTCAGTGTGTGGGCCCCCCGGGACGCCCAGGTCGGCGTCCGGACCCCCAAGACGCCGTGCAGACGCCTAGGTCAGCGTCTGGCCTTCCAGAAGGCCGTGCAGGCGCCCACGACGTCGACCAGGCGCCCGGGTAGTCGTGGCGACGCCCAGCTCGGCGTCCAGCTTCCCAGGACGCTGTCCAGGCGTCCGGGGCGCCAACCAGGCGTCCAGGGCGGCGTCCTCCTGCTCGGCGCCCTCCAGTCAGGCGCCCTCCAGCTTGGCGCCCTTGCAGTGGCCCCCGTGCCCACTGCTGCAGGTCGGCTGCAACCCCCGCACATCCGACCACAAGGTTGGCTCCGCCCAAGCGAGGACGGGGCCTTACAACGCTCCCGTTGACAGTCCCTACCCAGCGCTTGTGGGCTGCCTCATCTACCTGATGACTTGTACTCGCCCGGACCTCGCCTACCCACTCAGCATCCTTGCTCGCTTTGTTGCGCCAGGGAGACACCGTCCTGGTCACTGGACCGCTGCTGTGAGGGTGGCGAAGTACCTAGCGACGACATCAGGCATGGGGTTGGTACTTGGAGGAACACAGCCGGTCGTCCTTACTGGTCACTGTGACTCATTCTTACGCTGACGACACCGAGACTCATAGGTCTACTCAGGGTTACTATTTCAGCCTGGGCTCTGGAGCTGTTTTGTGGAGGTCCACGCGCTCCTCCTCGGTCTTGGCCTCTAATGCTAAGGCTGGTATCTACGCTGGAGCCATGGCTGCACAGGAGCTGCGTGGTTGACCTTCTTGCTCACAGACCTTGGTGAGCGGCCGAGCTCTGCACCGACCTTGTTCACTGACAACAAGGCGGCGATTCTTCTCTGTCGGGAACCTCGACTGAAGAGCAGAGTGAAGCAAATCAACGTCAGGTACTTTCTCCTACGAGAGTTGCAGAGGCGTGGACAGGCTCGCTTGGACTTTGTGGAGTCCGAGGCCAACACTGCGGACATCTTCACCAAGGCGCTTCTGCCTTGTGACCACCACAGGTGTTGTGTGCAGTTAGGTCTCGTTGACACTTGATCTCGTCTTGTATAGACGTTGCTTGTTTTTGTTGTACCTGCTGCTTATACACATGTCAACTCTTGGACTGGCCTTGTGGCCATTCTGCTTGTGATCGGAATGTGTGGTGACATTGTGATCCACCATGGGCTTTGTTTCTTTGTGAATGGTCTTGTGACCGTACTCTTTTGGTTTTTGCTTGACACCCCTCACTTAGGCTATGGGGGTGTGTCAAATGTTGTAGCATGTAGTGAGGCTTGTCTTATGGGGTACAAATGTTAGGGTTAGGCATATATAGCCCAACCCACATCAATGCAAACACAATTCAGTTTCTGACAGAGCTGGCCACTTTCTTCTTGAGCCACAAGTGTGTGAGCTCTCGTTTGTATTCATTTTTTGTAAAACAATTCACAAACATATACTCTATAGTTGTTTTTAAGAGCGATTCCAGTTCTGCATAATACTTGGCGGGCCATAGAACTATATGTCCATAAATCAGTTGTACTTCTACAGCAGACGTTTCTTCACCGACGTACCACACTGAGTCGCTCGACATTAAAATGGGCAGGCAAGGCAAGGCGGAACGGAACCAATCGAGACGGCATGGTAGTCACAACTTGTGAGGCTGCTCACTCAGCCCCCTTGGGGCATCCAATAACCCACCTTAGGAAGACAGCAGTGTGCAAAGGGGAGCCACCTATCCATCCCATGCCCTTTCACCATTTGTCCCTTCCATTGGATGCCAATCATTCACTTGCCATTCCGGGTTTCTCGTCGTTTGTTCCTTTTGTCCCCTTCGTTCCTGTTGGTGTTACTGCCCAGCAAAACGTTTCAGAGACAAGCCCCCATGAATTCAGAGCTCCAGCAGAACAATTTACTCTCTTGTTCCCGCATTTGCACGCAAACCAGTGTACAGTACCTGTATTAATGTCAAAGTCTCATTATTACAAGGGGGTAGAATGGCACGGTATTACATAGATGTTGTGCATACAAGTACATTCTCACTTTGCGATAGCCTTCTCTCCATCCGCCTTCTAGCAGCCCACACAAACACAGGGGGGGCTGTAGACATGATTTTACACACTGGAGACACAACAGTGGTGCTACCAGCACTGCCGCCACTTGCAACACAGCCACACTCTCTGCTGGAAAAACAGCTGTCCTCTTCCCTTTTCCAATTTCCGAGGTCACCACTACTGCCTCCTCTCCTG